ACCCCAAATCCATCCCAAATCCACTCCAAACCCATCCTAAACCCAACCCAAACCCAGACCCATCCCTGCTCGGTCTCACCTCGCACCACGAGATCAGCCTGGGGTGAGACTTCCCGTCCTGGGTGGAAGTAGTGCACCTTTGCTGAGCAGTGATAGCGGCCACTTTGCTGCTGCTTTGCTGGGGACAGCAGCAGTTTGTCCCCACCACTGTCCTGCAGCAGCTTCCCATCACGGAAGAACTGCACCTCGCGGAGCCTTCTGTCTTCCCAGCCACTGCAGCGCAGGGACAGCAAATCCCCCTCCAGCACCGCCTGTGCTGGCACCTGCAGCAGCAGCCAGACTGTGGGAGAGCGTGAGAGAGAGCATGGCGATGCACCAGCGTGCACTGGGATGCACCAAAGCACACCCAGCACACCCTGCTGAGCACAGCCGTGCACTGCTGCGTGTCCATCACGTGGAGACGTCCCCAACGTGCCATGGCTGCACACAGGGTAGCAAAGGTTGGGAAACCAAACCTCCCCCCAGCACCCGTGGGTGCCAGCAGCTGCCCCTCACCATTAGAGGCTGTCAGGTTAACAGCAGGGCTGAGCTCAGAGCCTCGGGTCTGGCATTGCCATCTGTGTTTCCCTTCGTCTCTCAGTGTCACACTGAGGTGGTTTGATGGCGTTTCCTCCCACCGCCGCCCATCCTTGTACCAGGTGGTGGAGATGCTCACACTGGGGTCCCCGCAGGTCAGCTTCACATTCTGCCCGATGAACTGCGGTGTCCAGGGGGGGTCCATCGTCAGCAGGGGGGGTTGGGAGCCTGCAGGGGGGACGTGGGGACAGCAGCGTGCAGGGGACAGCGGGGGCTGGGGGACACCAGAGGGGTCAAGGACTCACCAACAAGGCTGAGAAGCTGAGCTGGGGGAGAGAAGGGGACGGGGGTGTGGGAGCTGCTGTCACCATTATGTCAGCACAGCTCCCATCCCTGCTCTGTTCTGCGTTCCCCACTGCTGCTGCAATGGGGTTTGGGGACGTCTGTGTGGCGGATGGGGGATCCCAGGGGACAGCACTGCATCACAGCTGCCCACATCCTGCCATCCTCAGGGCTGCACGTGGCACTAGGAAGCCTCTGCCCACCCCATGGCACCTTCCCTCACCCCCATGTTCCATCACCATGGCCCCACTGCCACGTGCCCACATCCCCACATCCCCACATCCCCACGGTGCTCCTCCCCACCTCCCCATCCCCACACCTCTGTGCCCACAGCACCCGCTGTCCCCACGGCCCGGTGGAGATGTGGGGCACAACGTGGACAAAGGGATGTGGGGACAGAGGAACCGACCTCCCCCCCTCCTTCCATGGCACAACGGCCCCCCTCCCCACGCTCACCCCACAGCAGCAGCGCCGTGCTCCTCGCCGTCCCCAT